CTTCTCCTCTCTTGCAGGGTCAGAAATCCAAAACTAGCTCATCCATTTATGATGCTTCTTTCTGAATATTCCCCGGAGTGTGCCTCACACTCAGATATTGGAAGACTTGTATATTCTTTTTTCCCTTCACTTTGCTCACAGGCTGGGGAGCTAACCACCTTCTGGGGTCACTGTGATCACGCTCCCTGCATGTGTGATTTAAATTCACTTCACTCTTCCTGATGGAGCCTGGTAGGCGGGACAAGGGAGGTGAAATGAACTGGGGCCCAAATGCCTGAGGGTGGACAAGGTTGCAGTAGAGCAGCCCCTCAGTTGTGGAACCTGGAAATTCAGGCTTGTGACAGGGCCACTGTACCTCAAATAGCTCTTCCCAGCCCTTCAGGCTATAGAAGAAATGCCTTCCCTACAAGGTAGAGGTTCTCTGGAAACTGATACTGTGGCCTGCAGTGAATCATCTCTTATCTGTCCTGTGTACATTCTTCAGTTGGCCCTAACCAACCAAGTGCCTCATGGCCTCATGAGTAAACTTTATTCTTCCCATTTGACAGATGAGGAAACTGAGGACCTGATAAGTTGAACAACTGTCAGGTCATCAAGACTGCCCAGTAGCTAGGCTACCCAGAGTCATCAAGCTAATATATGGCACATTAGGACCCAATTTCTGGCTCCTATGACTTTCTAAATGGCATCCTTTCTCTTTATTAGTAGTCAACACTTGCCTGTTTTCAAGTTTTCCTCCCCCCCTTATTCAAGTCACTGATGATTGTATGATGCCCCAAAAGGCAGATTATAGAAAAGAAATTAGGAATGCCAGAAGGAAGGGCTTGGGCTGAGCTACAGAGATAGCTGCAGGGGGTGCGGGGGGATTGCTGAGGAAGCTGGGGTTGGAGGAGGGAAGCGGGTTTGAGATAAAGCCTCTGCCCCAGTGCCATCCACCATCCATCACAGCCCCATGAATGGGGCCCTGTTAGCCATCTGCAAAGGCCCAGGATTCCAGCTTTATTGGTTGCCATGACGATCCCTGGCCTTGACAACCAAGGCTCACTTGTGTTATTGTGCACTATTGAGTGTGCAGAAAACCCAACGGCTGGGACTGTAGACTGGAAAGGAATGTCCCCAACCCCTGCCAGCGCTTTTGTCTCTGCCCTGAGAGCAGAAAGGAGAATGAGAGCGAGCCTCTTCAGAGCCCCAGAGGGGTGTGTGTGTTGCGGGGGACGGGGGGGGGGGAGTCCATATCTAGCCAATGATGCACGCAAAGATTTCATGTTCATAGGGCAGCAGATTAGAGAAATGAATCAGACACCATCTTCATAGGTCATTTGTGGAAGGTGTACTATTTATTCATAGATTGTTTGCAGCCAGGCACTGCTTTGGGGCTAGGGATATAGCAGGGACCGAGTCCTTGGTCTTTGTTCAGCCTCTGCTAGCCCATGAGGTAGGTTCCATTGGCATTATCCCCATTTTGCAAGTGAGAAGCTGAAGCACAGAGAGGTTACTTAGTGTGTCCCAGGTTACACAGCAGGTAAAGAAGGGTGGTTTCATGCTCAACACCCTGTACACCACTTCCTCAAATGGCTACCATAGCTCCTTTCTTACTGTATCTTTCAGATGTTTAACTTTCAAAGTGAGACCCCCTCCATTTCGAGGGACATGGAGGCTGTGAAAATCTGGATCAAGGGCAGGGTCAACCAAGCACCCCTTATGATAGTAGTTGTCTTCCTTACCTCGGGAATTCCCCTGTGCCCAGATCAGACCCCTGTGACTTGGGTTTAGTTGTTGTGGGTGGGGCCCTGTCACAGGTGCAGAGCCCCCAGCCAGATCACCGACTCGTGAGGTCTGAAACCTTGGAGAAGCCCACAAACCTTCTGAGACTGTCATACAAGGCAAACACTGCAGATGATAGAAATTACATGTGGAAGGTACATGGCATGTAGTAAGTGAGCCCTAAACAGCAGCCAATCATTTTCCGACTTTTATTCTCCCTCCAGAGCAAACTGGAAAGGTTTGTTTATATATTCATGTTTGGGCCTTTTACCTGAATCCTCTCATCCTATAGACTTAAACATTCCAAATGCATGAGGCAGATAAGAGGGAGTGGGAGAGGACTAATTAGCATTTTAATTACAGGGAGAGGGATGGGGAGAGGTAAGTCCACTGGAGGACTTGTTATCTGGTTGGACCCCAGTGCTCAACTTGTTCTGGCCAAGACCTGCAGTAAGAAAGAGCACTTATCACTGGTCCACTTTCTACCTGAGACAGATATCGTCCTCACCTGCCATGCACTCTGATGGTTCCTATTTTGTTTTAGTTATTGATTGATTTAAATTTCTCTTTCGGTTCTGATCTTGTCAAAGAAAAAGTCTCTGTTTGATGCTAGCCTGCCTTTCAGAGCTGTCTAATATCTGCCCATCTCCCATTCCAGCAAAAAAGGACCAGGCAGCTGACTGCCCAGCTATTAATTTAATAACCAGCTTTGATTTTATTACATCAAAGCTGTAATGCTTTGTTTGTAGCGAATGAAACATTGAAGGAGGGGTGTTGGATAGTGATTAGAAGAGATTCTAGGAAATATACTTCATTTAAACTTTAAAAGCAAGTTGATTTTAAATAAATATGTAAAGCAAATACGTATGAGAATTAAGAATGTGAGAAGTCATGTGCTGTGTAATGAGAGGAGGTTTGGAGAGCACAGGGAGACTTGGGGTTTCAGAGACCAGAGCACCAGCGACTGGCCTGTTTCCATTCCAGTTCTGGGAGCGCCCCCCCTCAATCCAGGACCCTTCAAACCACCTGCTTCTTTTCCCAGATGTGCAATCCAAAGTCCAGAAGATTGCAAAGGGTGTGGAGGGTGATCTCATGCTGCTTTGGGGGTAGGAGTAGTGGGCCTGGGGTACCCAGTGACTTCAGATTTCGGGGAGGAGAATATTGTTAAGTTGCACACATTTCAGACCTGCTCACACATTTTAATATCAATCCTCAGATCTATCTTAAAAGGCAGGTTGCACTGTACCCACTTCACAGCTTAGAACTGTTGAGTTCATTCACCATATAAATTGACTCCAGGAACTCTGCTGAGCTCAGAAAACCTCAACCCCCACTCTCTGAGTTTACAATGTACCTTTCTAAGTGCAATTAGAGTGTTTTTAGGTAAGAGAGTTATGTGAGATGAACTATCCTTAAAAAGGTTGGGGACCCAGTAAAAAAGAGGACAAAAGAGGAAGCTGAGGGGCCACTGTGCATATCCTTGCCCTCATTCAGGGGAGAGATGGTGGCAACTTGCACCAGCCCTGTTAGGCATTTGCCCCCAAGCACCTCTCAGGCCTCTGTCAGCTCTGCCTGGGAAAGGGAGCCTTCCCTTGTGGCTGGCTTGTGGCTGAGGGGCTGCAGAGCAAGTCCTCAGGGAGTCTGCCTCTGTGCTGGGCCCCTTTCCTCAGCTACCGCAGAACCTGCCCTTTATCTTCCCTTCCACCGCTCTATAGTTTCATGCCCAAATCCTTGACCATTCCATGTCCTCTCACACCTCCAAGCATTTGCTTGGGCCTTATCCAGCCCCTCCCACCTCACCCTCCTTCCGTGGCTTCTGAAATCTCCCCTCCGTTCAAGGTACAACTCAGATGACACTTTATGGCCATCATAACTCCCACCAGAATTAATCTCTGTGTTCCCATGGCACCTTGCTCATACCATCAAATAATCATGATTCCATTATTCTGCTCTGTCTTATGCAGAATTAGTTGTTGACAGTGAACTGGAAAATTTTTATATACTGTACATGCTGGTGTGGCTCGGTGGATTGAGCATTGGGCTGCAAACCAAAGGGTCACTGCTTTGATTCCCAGTCAGGGCACATGCCTGGGTTGCAGGCCAGGTCCGCAGTAGGGTACACACAAGAGGCAACCACACATTGATGTTTCTGTCCCTCTCTTTGTCTCACCCCTCCCCTCTGCCTAAAAATAAATAAATAAAATATTTTTAAAAAATTATGAGCTTCGGAAAGAGAGAAGCATTTTATTTATTTTAGTTTCTCCTGTGCCTAAATAATGCAGTGTCTTGCCTATAACAGGAGCTAGTTAATTTGATTGATTAAATTAATGGGCTAGAGAAAGTGAACAAATAAATGATATTAAAACTCTTCTGGTTGTTGGAAGTGTATTGTGCCAAGAAGTGATGTCTGATGGAGATCAGGTTTTGTTAGAAGGTCTTTTGTTAGAAAACCTTTTGTTTGAACTGTGAGCCACGAAAATGTCACCTGAGATATGGCACAATGCGACATTTTGTAATTGAAAGTGTGTGGGTGTGACTCCCCCTTTTGCAGAGAATTCAAATGTTAATATTCAAGTTGTCTGAGACTCTCCAATTTTTAAAAACACAGTTAATGGAAACTGAATTATGTGGAGTCTTAAGTGCTCCCGCTTGAGACAAATGGTTCTGAGTGAAAGCCAGCAACTGCTCTCTCTATAGTTACCAGGCTGCTCAATTAACAGGCTTGCCTTGAGTTGAATACTCTGGAAGAGATTTAAAAAATTTTATTGAGTTATCAAGGGAAGACTATGGTTTCTCAGTTAATTTATGGTCGTACTTTCCAAGCGCACACTTCTCTTAATAATATTCCTTCTGGTGAAGAGCAATAACATTTTCTCTCTAAACTAGATCATTAGTATTCATCCAACCCTGTATCTACTACCATTAGATGTTTTGTTATTTGCTGAATTAATTGATATGTTATAATGAAAGGGCTTTGGGGTCACACAGCCCCACGTAACCTTCTGTCCAAAGCCAATACCATAACTCCCCCAAACTGCCATCTCCTCACATCAAAAATGGGGAGGTACCCTACTTGCTGAATGGTTGAGCAGATTGAGGGGGACATAGTTCCCTTCAGAATCTCACCCAACAACTGCACACCACAGTCACTTGCACCCAGGAGGAATCCTGGATCCCGCAGCAGGAGAAAGGAAGGTTTGATGGCCCTGAAGCCTTTGTCCTCAACTACCCTGCAGGACCTTACTCCACCTGCAGCCCTGGGCAGAAGAGGCAGTGTTACTCCCAAGAATTGGGGCTTATCAACTCTAACTCTAACCATGCTATTAGCTGAGACTGAAAGCAACAGAAATCCACTCAAGGTAATGTGAGTAAGCCACAAAAGAAGGGGGGGTGCTTTCTGATCTTTCTTACTAAGGCACTACCAGGATGGGAACACTTTTCCCTGGCTCCTGTTGTTTCCTTCCATGCGGAGGGACATCTGTGAGCTGAATACTCCTGGCTCTCCCCTGCCCTCATCTGCTCACTCCCAGGGGAAAGGGGACTCAGGTTCACCCCACTACGTTCAGGAGTGAGTATTGAATCCAATGCCAAGCTGGGCTACACGCTTGAAATGGCACCAAACAGTCCCTCTATCCAGAACCCACTTCCTTTCTCTTGCACTACTTCTGTCTGCATAGGCTACATTCTTCTCCATCCAAAGACCCTGTCTGAAAGCTGGTTCCTCTCACCAGGTAGAGGGCAGCTGACTCACAGTTCCCAGGACTGTGGCTGAGACCCACCCAGTCCACCTAGACCGGGTCACACAGAACAGACACGGCTCCCAGGAGAAATTTGTGAGAGTGGGGAGGTGTGGTGTGCTGAGCTGATACCCCTAAAGGGGCCTCCAACGCCCACCCTCTGGGCACCCTCAGTTGCCTCATCTGTAAAGACAGGTTCATGATGGCAGCTACCTCCTAAGGCCCTGAGGATGAAATGGAGTGGCATCAGCCTGCACATAGTAAGTGCTCAATACATGATAATGGTCAGAGGACAAGGACTGCATCTGACTGATCCCTGTACCCAATGCCCAGTGGAGTACCAACACATAGTAGAGGCACCATGAATATTCACAGAATAAGTAAATTTTCAAATCCATGCCAACCACCTCCCTCCTTCCCTCTTTGCTTATAATAATGCAGCCCGATATCCCATTTGCTGCGAGGGCACTGTGTCGGGGGTACTGCCAACCCACTATCCAGAGCTGGGTGACACCCACACATGTCACCTGTGCTGCCGAGCCCATGCACACTGGGCTTTCTGAAACCAACCCATCATCCTTGTTCCATTCCACACTGCAGAATCTCTTTGGATCTCTGTCCATCACCTATAGTTGATGCTTCCTTCATACTATCATCAGATTGGTGCTGAATGGAACACTTTGTTGCAGAATGAGTGGATGGACATCTATGGAGTGTTTGGACTCAGTACTGAGTAATGGTAAAATTTGCTGACTCTGGGGTCAGACAGACCTGAGTTCTGTTTTCAGGTCCACTGCTTAACTTTTCTGTGTCTCAGTTTCCTCAACTGTAACTTAGCATTCTTCTGGGTGTAAATAATGACAGATATTAATAGTTCTGCATGTAATGTGCTTAGAACAATGTGTGGCACCCAGAAAGGACCCAGGAAACAGGGTCCACAAGTAGTAGTGAGAAATGAATGCTGCTGTCATTGCTCTGAGACACAACACAATACAACTGAAATACATGTGTCAAATAACAAAGCAGGTATTTAGCAAGAAGACCCACAAACAGAAAGATACACAGAGAGCAAGTCTGAATGGTGGCTTGGAGAAAGGGGAAGGGGAGTGGGAAGGGCTTGAAGAGGTGGGGAGGGGACTGGGGAGAAGTGATAAAAAGAAACAGACAATGGAATGTGAGGGAGAGGAGTTGCTCCTGGTCCATGATGCAAAAGGTAACCAGCAAAGCTATGCTCAGGGATTTGGGGGCAGGATTCAGAAACAGTTTGGAGAGAGTCAGCCAACACTCCTGTGAAGTGGGAGCTAAGAACCCTGACTGCTGGGTGCCATGTGGGATAACTACCCAGTTTGCCAAGACTGTTGCAGTTTCAAATTGGAAAATCCCCCATCCTGGGAGCCCTCTCAGTCTCAAGCAAATTCAGGATGATTGCTCATGCTAGAGATGTACACATCCCACCAAGGTGGGCCACCAGGTACTCCCCTGGGTCTGCAGGGTTCCCAGACAGCCCAACAACCAATGTTCTGTGTGGGAACAAGGCAGAGGGAGCTCCCAGGCATCTGCTCTAAAGTTTCCTCCGTCTTGGTCCTTCCATCATGCAGAATATACAGACTCGCTTAGCTCATTTCAGGTGGATAATGCACTGAGCTCATCTACAAAGGCATCTCAAGCAAACTCTATCTCCTCTCTCTGTTTTTCCATCTAGAAAATGGGTGTAATCCTTCTACCTTATGTTAATTTAAAAATGAAAAGGACTTTCAAAGTGAGAGGCAAACAAGCAAGTATTTAAAGTCAGTAAGAATAGCCATTCGAACACACAGACTGATTCAGGAAGAAGCCCAAATAGTGTTCCAATTAGGAGACAAAGAAAATGGACATTTGTGAGAGGGCACAGGGAACAACTACATCAACAGAAGGAAGACATTTCTATTGGTGAAGATAACCTAACATTGTGATGTTTACTGTAAAGAATGTCTTTAATTTTCAGTCTGGTAGTCATCATCTCATAGTTATATCTGCTTTCTTGTTATCTTTTCCAGCAGTTTTTTGGGAAACAAGGTTGCTTTAGTCTCAGTCCAAAGTTATTTTGCCCTGCTTTACCATTTCAAGACAGTTTATCTGGCATGGCAGCTCCAGCTCCATTTTAAAGTGGCTCCATATATTATTTCTTTCACATTGGGGTATTATAGTCAAGGTCAAATGAAAATACACGTGAGTGGGCTTTGATTTAAAGTGTATATTCAGTATAAAAGCAAAGGATTTGATGTCAGAAGAACCTCCTCCACTATGTGGGGAAATGTGGGGGGTGGAATATCTGGCTGGAGGGAGAGTGGTCTTCACTGGCCTAATTCTGTGTTTCCCCTTCTTTCAGGGTGGGAGCGTGTGAAGGGGCTCTCTGTTCCTGAAAGAGGGCCTCCATCATGGCCTCCATGTTGCTCACCCGGCGGCTGGCCTGCAGCTTCCAGCGCAACTATTGCCTGCTTGTGCCCGGTAAGCCCTGAGGTCTTGACAAAAAGTAACTGGTCCTAGCAGAAGATGCTATCCAGACTAGGGATTCTGGGCTGGAAAAGTGCTTAGGGACAATGGCATTGGTCAGCCAGTGTTTCTGGGGCTGTCCCAGCATCCCCTATGAAACAGTCCCTATCACCACCCCTCCCATTCCCCTATTTCTGCCACATGCTTCTGTCCCCCAGCAGACAGCTCTGCAATGGGCAGGGAGCTGACCCCACACTACCTGCTTGCAACGGAGGTGGTGGCCCCAACAGTGAGAAAGGGCCCAGGCTGTCAACCACAGGGACCATCAGATGAAACACACAGCTAGAGCTGCTGCCAAGAAGAAAAGAAAGCAACAAAAGTCATTGGAATTGTAAAGACTAGCTGTGCTTCACGGGCCCTGGACAGGAGGTGGCCTCCCTGGAACATACCGCACCCACTACCCTCTCCCTCACCTCCTCACACCCCACACCTATCCTGCCAGCAGTACCACCAGCTCTTCTGTCCCTCAGAAGAGCTGTCTCAAATGCTCCCTTTTCTCTCTGCCTCACTGAGTGCAGGCAGCTTAGCCAAGTGAGATTCATCAGTGAGAACCCTGCTTGCAGGATCCCTTGAGACCTTGTTCCCTGTGGTCCCATGAGGAAGGCAGGAGAGAATCCCATTTTGCAGGTGAGAAAACTGTGGCTCAGAGAAGCAGAGTCATTTGCCCAAGATCACACAGCCATATGAATTTGAGTTATCACCCCTTCTCTGTGTGCCTCCATGTGGCTCTGGGAGAGGGACAGGATAGCACTAACCTCCTTTGGGACACCTTGTGCCTCCAATCTGTCCCCCATTCTCTAAGAGCCATGTGCTTGTCATCATGGTGTCCCCTTAATGTTGTCAGTCCTATCTGCCTTCTGAAGACAAATTGCTGGCCGCATCCTTGGTTTGCAAGTTTGTATCCTGGGTGACACAAAAAGCAGGAATGTTCGCTCCTCTCCTGGGAGTATTAGCAGGCTTTATTTTAAAATAAATGTTTTATTTGGAGACAATTTTAGATATATAGACAAGTTACAGAGGTAGTACAGAGAGATCCCATATTCCCCTCACCTAGTTTCCCACCTCGTTAACATCTTACATCACAAAGATACTCTTGTCCAAACTGAGAAACCAACCTTGGTACATCACTCCTAACAAAACTCCAGGTTTCTCTTTGGGTTTCACCAATTTTCCCTTAATGCTTTCTTGGCCCAGTGTCCAGTCCAAGTTTCCACATTGCATCTTGTCACACTGCCCTTTTCTCCTTGCTCTGTGACAATTTCTCAGTCTTTTCTTGTTCTCAGCCTCGATTGCCTTGAAGAGTTAGTGGGTTTTGAGGTGTTTTATTTAATTATAAGAGAAGCATATCAATGCTTATTCATTGTTATGTTAAAAATAAACTGAAACCAGAATAATCTAGGTCTGGTGTGCACCAAGTAGGAGGGAGGGTTGTGGGCATGGAAGACTCATTCATTCCATAACCAGTATTGTTGAGCCACTGGGTGCTGAGTGGGTGCTGTACTGGGTGCTGAGCACATGTGGCTTAGCCTTTGAATGTCATTCTCAAGGCCATCTGAGCCTTCCCAGGGAGGCATTGAGAAAAGAGCAGTAAATTAAGACTTATAAGATTGGGCTACCAGCTTCATCCACCATGTATTAGCCCAGAGAACCTAACAGTGGGCAGAACTCCAAGCTTCAGTTTTCCCATCAGGAAAGTGGAAATAATAATGACATCCTTTCTGCTTCACAAGTTAGTTGTATCAGAAGAAATGGTTCATGTGAAAGCAATTCATTTATGTTTACAAAAATTGAAGAGTGTCCTAACTCCCATTTCTACAAGCATGGATATGGAGACACAATGTAGAAAATAAACAAACAGAAGTGGCTAAATTAGAGTTACTCAGCTCTGCATTTTCTTGGCTGGAGTTGAATCTTTGACACACTTGTGTGAGACTTAGAAAATCATATCATGAGATATTTTTTTCTTTTGGCCTATCAATTTGGCATATCCAGTAGGATTGATAGGGGATGGATGGATGGATGGATGGATGGATGGATGGAGTCTTTTAATATTAAAATACAGTGCTGACAAAGATAGCAGAATGTGTGCACTCTCATACACTGCTTATAGGCAAGTAACCATAGAAGAATAGTTTTTAAATTATAGGAATAAAAGCTTATCCTTAACCCATTTAGTCCTTGCAACAACTCCATAAAACAGAGGAAACTGACTAACCTGTCCAGAGTTAGCAAGGGCCTGAGCCAGTATGGCCCCAGGACTCACACCCTCAACCAATGTATTAGTTATCTATGGCCTTATAATAAATAGCCCCAAACTTTGCTAGTTAAAATAATACATTTATTATCTCCTACTGTTTGTAGATTCAGAATCCAGGGCTAGTTTATCTGGATCTTCTGGCTCCAGGTGTCTCATGAGGGTGCAGCTAAGCTATTAGCCATGGCTGGGCTCATCTGAGGCTCACGGTCAGAGCTGTGGGTCCCCTTCCAAGCTCACTCCTGTGATTGTACTAGATTTGAGACCCAGTGGACATCTTCCTGAAGCAGCTAAACACATGGCAGCCGCTTCCTCTGAGTGAGGGAGAGCAGGAGAGCACCCAAGTCAGAAGCCACAGTCTAGTGCCATACCCACTGTGTGGAGATGCTTCTGTGTATTTCTCACCCTTTGATCACCATAAAGCTATTAAACATGAGAATAGTTCATAGCCTGAGACAGTGTTCCCAATGGCATTATTTCATGCCACACCCCAAAAAGTTTATAATATTACATTGACAAACAGAATACAGAGACTGGGAGACTTGACTGCAAAACGGTTATCTCTGGGCAGTGAAATTAGATGTGGATTTTTTCATTGTTGCTTATCGATATTTCCTCAATGAGCATGTTATCAAAAAATAAGTAGGATGGACAGTTGAGGGGAGAGATAAGATTATTTGAAAGAGAAGTGGAGCAAACAATTCCAGGTGAGCTTGACCTAGACTTTGACCAGGCTCACACCCTTATTATTTGGGAAAATGACATTCAGTTACCCCCAGTAGAGATCAAAAGGACATTAAAAGCATTTGATGGCTGTTTTTATACTTTGAAGTTAAAAATTGACTCTGTGGGCCTGGCTGGTGTGGTTCAGTTGGTTGAGGCATCGTCCCATAAACCAGAAGGTTGTGGGTTAGATTCTCAGTCAGGGCACATACCTAGGCTGTGGGTTCATTCCCCAGTTAGGGTGTGTATGAGAGGCAACAAATCAATGTTTTTCTCCCACATGAATGTTTCTCTCCCTCTCTCTCTTTCTCCCATTCCCTCTCTCTAAAATCAATAAACATGTCCTTGAGTGAGAATAAAAGAAATTGACTGTGGATCAGCATGGGAACTGAGGGTGGTGAGCATCACTACTGGACCTCGAGGGCTGGGCTGGACTTACCCACTGTGCCTCATCTTGTATGTCAAGGCAGACCCTTGCCTTCCAGGTGTACTGCTTTATTTATTATGAAAATGCTGGATCATTCGATATTAATTCATATTTTTTGCTTCCTTAGTAACCCTAACCCTAGTGCTTCTGATAGCAATTTGCCTCTAGGGGATGCAAGTTGTTTTGCTGAAAATGTTTTACTTCCAAGATCTACACTAGATGACATCAAAGATTGCATCAGTTAGATTAAAATTATTTAGGAAAATATAGGTCAGGTGGACAAATTTCTAGTTTAACCACTCACAGCTTTATGACTTTGGGCCAATTGACTTTTCTGAGCTTTAGTGTCCTCTTCTGTAACATGCAACTAACACTAACCTACTAGGGGGTTGTGAGAATTAAATGAGGCAATCTATGTGAAGTGCTCAGGGTAATCCCTGATATTTTCACCATAAGTGCTTGATAAATGGATATCTGCTTGGGTGACTTGATATAATAGATCCCAGAAAAGGCCTCCTTCTTTGGCTATTCAAATCTTGTTATTTTCTCTTGTGGTTTATGACATTATATATCATCATCAAGAGAATTATGAGGATCTAATATATCATCATTGGTACTATAGTGGTATTTGGTACTTGATTATTTTTCTCTACAGAATTGAAAAGTGAGAGATAGGGAAAAGCAAAAGCATTAAACCTGGGTTCAAACCCTGTCTTTCCAACTCACTAGCTATGTTACCTTGGTAAAGACCCTTAACCTCTGTGATTCTCATCCAAAAAATGGGAACAATATCCTCTCACAAGTGGGTTATGGATTAATTAAAACAATAGGCAAGAGTTTGCTTCAATAAGGCCTGCGTAGCTCACGTGTGAGCTTCCCCATCACTCTTTTTCCAACAGCACTGTTGCTACCAAATTTACCAGGCTCTGATTTTCAGGATCTCTGCCCAGCGGTTTTGGCCCTCTTCCATCCACACCCACTAAGACTTAGCACATGGTAGGAATCGATACAGTTCTTGAAACAGACCCATCTGCCTTGCACCTGGCCCTTGGCATCCCCGTCCTGTGCCCCATCAGTCCCAGCTCCCAGTGAAAAGGTTCTCGCCCTCTCTCCACTGCCCCTCCCTACCCCCCACCTACCAGCTCCTATTTACTCAGAGTCTTGGCATCATCATAGCTGCAGCTCTCACTGCTAACTGCCTCCATTCCTGGTATTCCCACTTTCCAAGTCCCAAGAAATCCACAACAATGTGCTATCAAGACATTTTCTGGAGATAGGAAGGGAGAACTTGCACATTCTCATTTGGAGGACAGCTTGCTAATTTTGAATTTTTTACTTTCCCCCTTTGCTGAAACAAAGCAAGATCAGCACCAGTTAAGAGTTATTTTTATCTAGGTATGCATCCCTGTTTTATGCAGGCCTAGTTGAAATCAGCCTTGACCAGTAACGTGGAGTTCTGGCCAAGGAAAAGATACACAGTTGAGTATTAAAAACAAATATCAATATGTCCCAGGACCTTTAACTCTCTGCTAATAGAATCAACTCTTTTGGAATTCTTTTTTCATTTTAAGATCAGACAGAAGCCAACAAAAGCTGGTTTCTTCGTGCCTTAAAATAAGGGTAGTGTTGGATTTTAACAACACTGGAATTGTTTGCTAAAGTCCATTTTGAATGGACTTTACATTCAAAGGGCAACATAATTAATTACATTACATAATTAATTCAAATATCCAAAGCAATTGTGGGAAATTAAGAATGAATGTAAATATGTTTTCTAATATCATGGCTTAAAATGGTTTAGCCAGCTGTGTGTGTGTGTGTGTGTGTGTGTGTGTGTGCGCGTGTGTGTGTGTGTGTGAGAGAGAGAGAGAGAAATAGTAGCACATTTCTTCACTTCTCTGAATTTTAGTTTCCTCTCCTATGTAATGAAAGCAATAACCGCTCCCTCTCAGGGTTGAGTAAAGATGAAATGAGATCATGTATATAAGTTACATAAAGTCACTACTGATTCCCAGTTTGATGCAATTATGGCAACCCAAGTAAGGGGAACTAACATTTCCCAACCACCAAATATGTACCAGGAAGATAAAAGATGACCAGGGACATTATAGGGATTTCTAGGGGTTACTGATTGTAAATTATTATAAACCATTACACATTTATCCTGGATTCATGCTGCCTTTCACTCAGAGATCAATGAGGCTGGGGGTTGAGGCTACCCTCTATGTCTCAGCAACATGCTAAACTGAGAAGCTTTGTGGGGAAAAGCTCAAACACCTGCTATAATTTTATCACTATGCAAAAAAGGTGAAATGAGTTTCAAGCAAATGACTTGTGCCCAAAACTTTTTTTAACAACAACAAATCTGTAAGTGGGGACTACCTGAATTTAGACATTTTATTGTCTCTCCCAGGTGGTTTTTGATTGTCACAGCTAGGGACACAACTCAGGGTACTTGCTACTGGCATCCAGGAGGTAGAGGCCAGGCATGCTGCCCAACATCTGCAGTGCACAAAACAGCCCCTACAACATATAGTTCTGAGCCCAAAATATCCATTGTGCCAATGCTGAGAAATTCTGGTCTGTAATATGAATACCTTTGAATATAAATTAATTTTTACAAAATTTGGATAATTTTATCATCTGATCTTTCACATACTAATATCATGGTCATCTTTTCATATCCATAAATATTAAATATGTCTATCTTGAAACTACTAATGGATGCACAATATTCCATTGTCCATAATGGTAGAATATGTTGTGCATATTCTATTGAGCTACCCTTCATTGTCAGACATTTAGGTCATTTTCTCTTTGTTATTTGAGACAATATGATTACAAATAATTTTAACCTATATCTTTGTGCACTGGTCCCATTATTTGCATAGGATGAATCATAAAAATGAGATTGTTCAGTCAAAAGGTGTAAGAAGCTGACATCAGTTCACACTCGCACCAGCAGGACTTGAGCATACCTGTTTGCCTACAACATCACTGGCACTGGGCTTCCCCGTTTTTCAAAAATGTTCAGTGTTTTTGTGGTGCCCAGGTCTGGCCAGACTCAGTGTTCTGGGGTGGTCTGGCTAGGATGTGTTGAGGCTAGGATGGGACTGCCTCTGTTGAGAACATAGGGTGTCTGTTAGGGCAGAATTATCACTATGTCTACTGTCACCAGGAGTTCTCATTATCTTTGTTTACTGCAGGATCCCGACATATCAGTCAGGCTGCAGCCAAAGTCGATGTTGAATTTGATTATGATGGGCCTCTGATGAAGACGGAAGTCCCAGGGCCTAGATCTCAGGTGAGTTGAGCACACCCGAGTGGGAGTTTTGGAAAAGAGCAGAAGGGATCAATGAAGCAAAAACACAGCTGAGTATAGGAACTGTATTCTTAGCTGCTTTCAGAGGTTTGACCAGTAGAGATCTGGGACATTAAGCAAGGGCATTCTACCATAAGAAGTCAAAGAAGTCTTTTCAGTTGAGCGATATCAGTATATGCTGCCACAATAATGCTGTGTAACAATCACAAAATCTCAGTAGCATACAGATTGCTCATGCGTCTAGGGTTAACTGGGAGTTGGCTAGGCAGCTCTGTTGGTCTCATCTACATGCCTGGGGAATAACTGGCCATTGGTTGTTCTAAGTTAGGCTTGACTTTGTCACTGCAGTGACTTGGCTCTGCTCCACGTATCTCTCATTCTCCAGCAAGCTGGGCTAGGCTTGTTCTCATGGCAATAGTAAAGGAGAGCATGCCAGAGGTCTCTTGAGGCTCAAGCCTTACACTGGCCCACCATCACTTACAACTTGTTCTATTGGCAAAAGCAAGTCAAGGGCTGGGGCAGAACATTCTACCAACAGTGGAAGGATGTGTCAATTCTATATGGCACAGGGCATGGGTAGCAAATGACCTTGAGCCTGATCTTGAAAGACAAACAGGAGGAACCTGCTAAAGGACTGCATTCTGTTCCAGGAAAAGGAGAGGGTATGTGGAGAGTCATGCATGGTGATAGCACACAGCATATGAATGACATTAGGTAGCTCTGAATCCCTGGAGTAAATGTCAGTGTGTGAGATGGAAGAGACACAAACTGAGTGATGAGGGAGACTGGAGATTCTACTCAAAGATGCTTCAAAGTCTGCATATAGCACATTTTAGAAGACTGACTAACCCTGATTCTATAAAGTGACATGCAATACTCTTCCTAATGTTTGCACCTAAAAAAATTCACAGTGTAAACATTTTTAGTGTCAAAATATACACCTTTTGTCACTGAAACTATTTACAAATCCAGAAATTTTTGTACTAATAACTAATTATAGTTATTATGGAGAACATCTGCTAGCAAAAATAAATACTTTTTAACTCATATCTATTGGGAAGCAGTGGGTTTTACTTCAATAGTAGTGAAATAATTTTGGAATAAGTTTTGATATTTTGTCATTAATATTTCCTTTTTTGAGGTAGACATATATAATTTTATAATACTAATTGCCAAAGTTTATATTAAATCATTTTCAGAGATTAAATGTTTATAATATTAAAGCAACTGGTGTGTACTCCTGGTTTCTATACAGAGTTGCACAGTGGTTTATGGACTGTTCAGATTATAATACATGGGTCTTTGTGTGCACATTTACATTTTCAGTTGGCTTTATTTTTATAACATGGTGTTAAAGCTTTGTTTTTCCTAAATAAAAAGAAAACCTATGCTTTTATGGAACTAGATAAACACCTTCAGCTTAAATTTTTTTTTGTCAAATATTTTAGTTTACTTGATTATGTTCCAAGTGTCTAAATCTCCAGTCTGTCTGTTGTACAGGTAATTTAACTGTCAAAAGTAGTTTCCCACCCACTATTTATATTAAGCAATTTAAAAATATTGATAATACTGTTGACTAATTAAATATCAAAGTTATTGGCATGAAGAGGAAAGGAGCTCCAAGACTTGGGAAGACACAAAAGATTTTAAACTACTCTGGAAACGTGTCCTTGCTATAATGCTTTTGCTTTTTTTGCCTACAGGAGTTAATGAAACAGCTGAATATAATTCAGGTAAGTGGGGATGAGGTAACAATCTTTCCTTTGCTTCCCTGTTCCAGTTTAGCTGAGGGACACAGGTGCTTTCTCTGTGCTGGCTCTATTCTAAAAAACAAACTAATTTATTTATACACACACATACATACATACATATACGCGTGCAGCTGGCTTTGACTCTGAACTTTTTTTCTAAGTTTCCTTGTGATTTCTTTTTTGATTCATTGGTTATTTGCATGTGGTTTATCTTTCACATTTTGGTGAACTTCTCAAGTTTTTTTTCTGTTACTGATTTCTAATTTTATTGATTGTGGTTAGAAAATATGTTTTGTGTGATTTCAGTCCTCTTCAATATATCAAGCCTTTTTATGGCCTAGCATATGGTCTATCCTGGAAAATGTTCCATACGTACTTGAGAAGAACATGTCCTCTCCTGTTGTTGGGTGAGGTGTTCTATAGATGTTTGTGAGGTGTGTTGGTTTAAGCATTGTTCCAGTCTAGTTCCTTGTTAATCTTCTGCCTAGGTAGTCCATCCATTATTGAAAACCATGTATTGAAATCTCAAATACACAGAGAACTTTCTTGTAGAACTATTTTTTCCCTTCAATGCTGTCAGTTGTTGCGGTATATGTTTTGGGGCTCTTTTAGGAGGTGCTTCTATGTTTATAATTGTTATATCTTCTTAGTGGACTGACCTCTTCTCATAAAATGCCTCTCTTCTAGTAACACTTTTTCATTTTTAGTCAATTTTGTCTCATATTAGTATATATCATTCCAACTTTTTTATGATTACTGTGAGAATCATGTATTTTTGCATCCTTTCAAACTCTGTTATTCTTGAAACTAAAGTATGTCACATGTCAATAGCTTGTAGTTGAATCTTTTTAATGCAGTCTGACAGTTTGACTTTTGATTAAATTGTTAAGTTCATCCACAGTTAATGTTATCATTGATATAGTTGTATTTACATCTTCCAGTTTACATTTTTTCTGTCTCATATTCTTTTTGTTCCTCTGTTTATTTTTTTTACTTTTACTTTTTTTAATTAAGTGAGTGACTTCTAGTGTAACTTTTTTATTTCTTTCATAATTACTATTTTTTCTTTCAGTTTTCTTAGTGGAAGCTCTAAGGCTTACCATATACATCTTATCAGAATCGTCTTCAGAGTTATATATCAACCTTTTTGTTGTGATATATAAAACACATACAGAAAACTTCATACAGTACAAATTCACAGCTTAACAAAAGTATCATAAAGTAAATCACCTGTGTAATAGCTCAGGGCAAGAGATGTGACCTTGCCAGCACCCACAGAGACCTCCCATGTGTCCATAGAATGGTCAGGTCATGGGTTGGTTGTTGTTTTTTTTTTTCCACTAATTCAAACTTAATCCCAAAGATTGAGAATCTAGGGAGGTGCAAAAAGACTGACTCAGGCTGTTTTTTCCCTGAAGAATGCAGAGGCTGTGCATTTCTTCTGCAATTATGAAGAGAGCCGAGGCAACTACTTAGTTGATGTGGATGGCAACCGAATGTTGGATCTTTATTCCCAGATCTCCTCTGTCCCCATAGGTAAGAGCTGGAAAATCAGTCTTTGAATGTAATTTCCTCTCTCTCTTAGTTGTGGCCACCTGGACTTAAGTCCCTTCCAGCAGGCACATCCCCTCATGTTCTTTCCCTCAAGGGCAGTGAAAAGAAACAGGTAATCCGTAGAGGATGTATTACTAGGAACTTTACATGTCTTCTTTCATTTACTGCTCCCCAGAAATGGCAAGTATGCATTAGCATTTGGCTTTGTAGCTAGAAAAGGTGAAGATTAGCAGCTTGCAGAGGGAAGTTAGCCAGGATGTGAACCCAGGTCTGTGTGACCACAGAGTTTGATGTGTGCTCTTTGATTGGGTTTCATAAAAGAAGAGTCTGCAGCAGGGATTCTGTGCACGTAGTTTATTGTGGGAGAGCTCTGGGCAGAAAGGAGAGAAAGGGGAGTGGCATAGGGCAGGGGGCAAAGCTAAGAGGGAGGAGGTGTCAGCCAGAGACCAACCACTGCCTGATCCCCAGGGGGCTCTTGAGCATGTATTGTGTCCCAGAGTTGGTCTCAGTTTGAAGCCAACAGACTTGCTTTTTTGTGCCGCTGTGCCAGTCAGTCATTGCCCATCAGCTGCCAGGAGGGAAGACACGTCATTTCTGGGGTAAAGTGGCTTCCATTCACCAAGGGCAATTTCCAGAGAAAGAGACAGCTGGAGCCATTATCGGCCACATGCACAGCAGCTGGGCGAAGGGTGGCCTGAGCCTTACAGGTGCACTAGTGAGGCACCAACAGCATGTGCCTCACCAGGCTCACCTTCTGGTCACACAGAGCATGACTTGCTGCTATAGGAAGGTACACAGGTAACAGGATGGAGAGGGCTGACTTGGACACGCAGTAGCTGGTGTTTGCAGCTTGGATGGTTGGTGTTTCTTTGGTCTGTGGATTCCCCTTGGATTCACAGGTCTGTAGGCTGAGTGTCCAGTAAAGTCTGTCCCTTCATGGATGATGCTGGACTGTCCCAGCTCCCTGTTAGCAGCTCCCCACCCACGGCAGCCAGAGGCCTTCCCCCTGGAACCCCGAATTAGGTCTCCAATCCTCCTCTGCTCTCCCCAATCACAGTCCCTTGAACCTGTTTATTTCTCATTAAGATGCAATTAGACAGTAAGCGGGTGACTCATTCTTTTTGGAAAGTCCCATTGTTCAGAGATGCCTTGGCCTCTGAAGGTGTTTTGGATGCTGAAATTTACAGCCTGTATCTCCATTTTGTGTCTGGAGTGAAAGGGATTCGATCTTGAGCTCTACCATATATTAGCCGTGGGACTGTGGGCCAATGTCTCCCCAGCTGATTCCTCCATCCTCCCTCTCACGCCCAGGGCTCCCTCAGTTGCAGTCCCCAGCCAGCCAGTGTATGTGTTGCAGGTGTGGGGATCAGGCCTGCAGCAGTTGTTAAAAGACTAGAACTAAGTTTCTCTCTCTGGCCACTTTGCCTTCCATATCTATGTTCTTTGAGATTTTTTAAAACTAATAATTACTGAGAATTTGCTGTATGCCTGGAATATTGCTAAGTGCCTAACATGTTATCTCATTAAATCCCTAAACAGCCCTATGACATTGTGTCTTTTAACAGCACCCCCAGTTTACTGATGAGCCAGCTTTCAAGAAAGTACAGGGTTTGCCCAGAGTGTCCAGGAAGCCAAGCGATATGAACCAGTAACTCTGCCACCTAAACTTGCTCCTGTGATTGCAGTTTCCCAGAGAGCCACCCATGCCCTACCCTGCCCTGCCCTGCCCTGCCCTGCCCTGCCCTGCCCTGCTGTTGGGGGGGGGGCAGTCCACAGCTTTGAAAGTCCAGAGGTAGGACTACACTGATCAGAGGGACCAGCCCGACTTTCATCTGTCCTGAAGCCAATAGACAAGCTGAATTTGTGGCTTAATGAGATTTCCCTGAACCTGCTTATCTACTGAGGCAGAAAAGTCATAAACACCCAGACAGCGTGATAAAGAGCCAGAGCTGAAAGACCTCTTGCGGGAAAACAGTTGGAAAAAACCCACAGAGTGTTCCTTCCTTGAGCAACAAGCACTTTTAAGCCTTGGGACCAACTTACCTTAGATCATCCCGGGGAGGGGTAAAGACACAGGGGAAGATTGTCAACAACCCTCTTCCCTTGGTTTCCCCCCTGACTCCCTGAGACCATGTTCCCTGCAGCAGGCAGAGTGAAACCACAAGCTTTTCACTTCTGTTCTCTCTGATTCCATGGAGAAGTTCTCCCCTGGGTGATGCTGGGTCTTTAAATCCCATCCAAATTCGCTAATCTCTTATTCTGGAGGCACCAGGCCCCACTCTCAGAGCCGTGGACAGGCCTCTCACCATAATGCTATAAAGTCTCCTTTCAAAGTAAATTTATTTAAATCGAAAAGTGAATTGATTGAAAGAAAATAAGTACAAGGTATGTGTGATAAGAGTTTTTCTAAGTTTTACTTCCTGCTCCAAGATTCATAGATGAGTCAGTCTTTTCTCACATATGACAGTTCTGGGTTCTTGCCATGTCAGTGGATTCTATGAATTATTCATTCATTCAACTAATGTCTGTTGAGCTGAACACTTGCCACTGCCTTTAAGAGTCTTACAGACTGGTCTCCTGAACTCTGTACTTCCTACAAACTTGACCATCCTGTGGGAGCTGTTGCCAGGATTTGCAGTAATGAACAGAAAGCCCCCTGCACAGTAAGATACTCAATAAATGTAAGTAAAGGGTTTGAACCCAGGGCATCTGGCTCCAGTGCCATGCAGTTCTGTCTTACACCTCCTTCCCTTTCAATAAAAGCTTCTATTTATTGAACATCAACTATATGCAGAGGCCTTTTTCTTCATTATTGCTAACCCTGGCAACAGTTGATCTGCTTTGATGGACCTCACATTGCTTTCAGGCCTAGAGATATTGGAGTGGCACAATTAAGATATGTGTATATCGGTCTTTATACACATGTGTAGGATAAATTCATAGAAGAGTGATTGCTGAATGAAAGGGTGTCTTAAACCTTGTCATGGAATGTCAGGCCCAAGCTGGACAGTACATGCAACAGGACTCTGGGAATAATCAAATGTAGGAAGGCAGAGCCAGATATGCTGGTCACAGATTGCAGGTTGTATCACCCACTCACTCCGTTCCTGAGCAAACATTTATTGCGGTTTGACTTGATCTATAGGCACTGGGGGAGAAAGCAAGGACCACATTGTGATTCATCATGTGAGACTAGGGAATCACCCACAGCCCTTGAAGAACGCTTTCAGCTGCACTCACCTCTTATGTCTGTCCAGCTCTGTAGGTCTCAAACCTGAACCCCAGAATTGCCTAGAGAACTTGGTGAATATTTCTGGGCCACACCCTGAGAGATTCTGAGTCAGGGCATATAGGTGGGCCCAAGAATGGGTCTTAAGTCCACAAAGGATAAAAAGTTCCCTTGGCATAAGAAAAGGTTGGAAAGGAGAGGAGAGGCAGGCAATGGAGGTGGGGCATGGGGACCCTCAGGTGTGATGTTGATCTCTAACCATATTCCCCCTCCCCAGGTTACAGCCATCCTGCTCTCCTGAAACTCGTCCAACAGCCTCAAAATGCGGTAAGCCCCTAGGTTAAACAGAGTAAATCCCAAATGTGTTCATGGTAATTTAATGGGCACCTTTGGAAATGAGCCATTCATTTATTCCACAAATATCTTGGAGCACATACTATGTTCTAGTCACTTAGAATACATTGGTGAGCAAAAACACAACACCCACTCCCACGGAGGTAGTCAATTAATTTAATTCTCTACACATAAGCAGAGAATCCCAGCGATACTAAGTGCTATAGAGTGAGGTAAGCAGTACTGTGTGGGCATAAAACAATGATGATGATAAGAATGACAAAAAATAACAAAGAGCATTGTATGTATAGTAACCCCCTTGGCCACAGTTCCACTTTTTACAGTTTCAGTTACCCATGGTTACCTGTAATCCAAAAGTATTAAATAAAAAATTCCAGAAATAAACAATTTGTTTATTTCTAAACAAAGTTTAGAAGTTTTAAATTGTGTGCCATTCTGAGTAGTGTGATGAAATCTCATGCCAGGATGCAGGCTCAGCCAAGTGGTCTGCTCGGAGTCTTGGAGAGCCAAAATCATCTCTTAGCTGAGGCTATGAGGGAGAATCTACCTTGGGGCTCATTCAGGTTGTTAGCAGAATTCATTTCATTCTCATAGTTTCCACGTGATCCCACCATCTTACCGCCAGCAAGCCCAGTCCAAACCTCTGCTCTGTCTTCCACCACTGTTTCTACTCTTAGCAAAGGGCTCATGTAGTTGCACTAGGCCCACCCAAAAAATCCAGAGTAATCTCCCCATCTGAACCAATTGGGAACCTTAATCATACCTGCAAAGTCCTCTTTGCCCTATAATATATTCATGGCCCCAAGGTTTGGCATCTTCTTGGGAGCCATATTGTATAGATAATACACCTATACAATAGCATGTGTGTATATATGTTTATATGATATGGTATATCGGGTATGGCATATGCTGTGGTAATACCACATAGCCGTCTGTGCTGTCTGTCAGAGTGGGATGTTTTTCACCTCCAGTGAGAATTCATGAATTATAGGTGGTCCCCACTACATGCCCCTACCTCATTACTATTCCCCCAGACCATTTCCTTTATTTTAACAACACAGGTGTGTTTCTTCCATTCTTTCTTGACACATAAATGGCATTACACACAGTGTGTACTCTTCATCATGTCTGCCTTATTCACTCAAAATCCATGTGTGTGATTCATCCTTGTTGTGCAAAGCCACACACCATCTATTCCCTGGGCTGTAGAGCCATGCAGTGTGTGAGCACACTGCAATTAATGTGTCCATCCCACTGTTCATGGGCATTTGGGTTGTTCCTACAAAGGCCGCTGCTGTCAACATTTGAATATATGTCTTCCAATGACCACAGCCATGGTCTCCAGGGGATACAAGGCAAGGAGTGGAGCTGCAGGTCATCATAGTGTGCAGACAATTTCCAAACTGGTTGTCAATTTCTACTCCCCTCAGCAGTGGGGTGAGTTATGGTCCCTCCACATCCTCACCAATACCAAGTGTCATTGGGAGGGGACTTTCATTTTACTCAGTAACATGTGCATCCACACATAAGGAGTATAAATCCCTTCAAAAATCTAAGAAAGGCAGGGGAGGGCTGAGAGCCCAACCCCATTAGGAACCAACTCCAGGCTTTAAACTTTGTGCCCTTTAAACCTGCACAGTGGAAGATAATAGAAAAGAAAGACATATCCCTTTTTTATAAATGGGTATGTCCTGGCTGGGAAGGACTTAGAGACATTTCTGCCTTCCGGTTAGTTGACAAGTTCAGGGGCTACAGTAGGGGACTCCTGAGGGTGTCTTGGGTGTGCAGGCTCTGTGGGTGTGCTTACATTCAAAGCCTGACTTTGTTTTGAAACATTGTGCAGATCCCAGATGCCTCAGCAGTTGGTGCTGGAAAGAATGTGTCAACAAACATGTCACACACATTTGCAGTGTCAGCTGCCTTGGGAGGCAGAATCATCCCAAACAACATGTGACTTTAAGGGGCAGGGATTCTGATTTGGGGGGATTCCCTGCCTCCACCTGACCCTGCCAGGAACCTGGATGCCACACTCCATCTTCCATTACCACAACCCTCATCTCTCAGCCAGTCAGAACCTGTCATAGCTCTGCATCTTCCGCTTAACAGATTCTTTTCCTCTCCAACTGTTCTGGGCTCCACATCCATTTTCATCTCCTCCAAACTGCCCTGTGCATGGAACCCTTTCCGGGTACCCACTGCCTGTGGACACCTCCCACTGTAAGTGCAAAGCCCTTTGTGATCTGCCTCTCACTTCTTCAGTCTCATTTCTTGACATTTGTTTACTTACCAACTACTGATTGAATACCTACTATGTGCTGGACACTGTTCTGGTGCTGGGATTGGATGGTGAAGTCACAGTCTAGATTATAGTCTAGAACATAGAACAGTCTAGATTACAGCCTGAATCACAGTGTTGACCTTGTTACAAGGAGGACTGAGTTTAGGCAGAGTGACTGGCACAATCTTAGAGAAACGGCAGCTGGCTGACCCTAAACTCAGTATGTACACCCAGGGCATCAGGCTGGGTGACTACTGGTTGACCTCTGGAGTCTTCCAAATTCTTTGCTGGAGATGTGTTCAGGTGGTGGTTATGGTATTTTACCTGTCCTGCGCAGATTCCTACCAAGTCACTGAAGTCCTGAAGAAGGGCTTATCAACCCTTTGTTCCCTGGTCACAGCACCCTGAAAATCCCACATTGTTACTTCAGGTGGGTGGAAAAAATGAGGACATGTCTTCTAGATCTGATATCTGGGTTCCAGTTACAGTTTCTTACATTTCCAAGGCCTTGTCATTGCAATGCCCACAAGTTATGCAATGATTATTGGGCACCACACATGCACCTTCACACTGAAATGAATGCTGAGTGTGGTCTGACATCCATGGCACCTGGCGTGGACATCGGACAGCCTGCCAGGTCAAGTAAGACGTGTGCCATCCTTATGACCTCTTGGCCTTTCTACCTGTGTGACTCTGTCCTTCAAGACTGGGCTGCTGCCTCATCTGAGTGCTGTGTCATCCCACTGGCTCTTCATCAGCACCCAGGGACGGGCCCTGTTCTGGCAGATGAAGACACTGAAGTCCCGAGAGGTTCAGTAACTTGCCCTAGTTTATACACCCACTTAAACCAAAGTCCGTTCTCTTTACACTGCACTTTAGGGCTGCTGAGTCTGACAGCAAGGGTTCTAGAAACCTGTCCTCATTTGATTCTGCTACCCTACCCAGATATCTTCTGTTCTTAATGTCATGCTTTGCTAAACAAGAACATCACCCACACATCTTCCCTGGACCTAAATAGGCAATCAAGCTGCAAGACAGCCTGGCCATCCCCACTGTGAGTTGCTTCCACCTCTGCCTATGATGGCAGTTCGCCTCTACCTTTATCTCTTGATAGGCTTGATTTCTCAGGAGTCCCACTCAGAGCAGAACCAAAAGAAATGCCCTTTGAACCCCCTACAGGCCAGCCAAGGTCCCTGGGTTGCACCAAGCAAACACACACCCATCAGTATCAGGCAGAGGCTGCCTACAGTGTCTGGTAAAGGATGGAATCTAAAGTCAGCAAACCTAGATTGGAGTCATGGTTCTGCCCTTCCTGGCTGCCTGACTTGGGGCAAGCGGCTTGACCTCTCTGGTCCTCAGTTTCCCTGACTCTCCAATGAGAAGCATTACCTGCCCCTGCTATTTATCCTAGTCTGGAGTATGAATCTGCCACAATGTCTAGCATTCAGAGCCAAATTCCTCAGCAACTAGGAGGCTGAGTTCTAGGGGTCCTCTCTCCTCTTGTGCAGTGATTCCACTATTTGGATTTATGTTGAGTTAATTGCACCAACTGTCCGAGAGAGAGAGGGACCAGAGAAGTCCCCAGATTCTAGGCTCAGTGAATCCTCCCTCTTTTTAATTAAGTATTTTATGTTAGACTAATTTCCAATTTGCAGACAAGTTGTAAAGACAGTTTCCATCTACCTTTCACCCATTTCCCCCCAATATTAACACCTCACCTCTCCATGATATCCTCATCAAAACTAAGAAATTAACCTTCGTGTATTACATACCACAGACCCTACTTAGGTATCCCATTTTTCCACTAATGTCTACTTTTTTGTTCCAGTCCGGGATGCTGCATTGCATTTAATATAACCCCTTTTTATAACCCAAACCCAGTTCTGGATGATCTCACTATTTATCCATTGTGCAGCTCCTCCCAGATTCTTCCTAGTCCTGCCAGGGGGACTGGCTGGACCTCGAGGGATGGGATGGCTCTGCTCTCATTCGATCTGCATTTCCATCTATGTCTTTTCTATAATGGTGGACACAAGTCACTAAACATTTTACACAACTCATAAAATGTGTAACACCAAGCATGAGCCCTGGTGTAAAATTGTAACCTTTTAAACACCATTTTACTAGCCACAGAACATCACCATGAGTTGAAATGGCTTAGTTTACATAACCTACTGTCCAATTTAGAGAGTTTCTCCTTTTTGTTCTTGTAGGTAATGCTACATGAATAATTAAATCTATAGCCTTTGTCCACCTTTGAAATCGTATCTTTAGAAGGAGGCCTATGAAATGAGATCACTGGGTCAGAGTGTAAAATATTATAAGGCTCTTAACACACATTATTAACATGTCTTGTGTTTGAAACTTCTACCCTGATCAGTGTCCTTCCAGAACTGGATATTATCTTTTTCTTCATTTTAGGAAAGTATTCAAGGCCCACCTGGTAGGGAATTTGGAACCATTGGCCCTGAGTGTGTATCTAACCCCGTTGCATGAACAGCTAACAACAATGCCTGTGTTTTGAAGCCAGGAAGGCAGGGGCTGCTCTTGTTCAAGAATGCAGCTACGTGAATGTAGGACTATCCCTCCAGCACTTGGCTTTTGTCAGTTGTGCTGCTATGAACATTGGGGTGCACAGGTTCTTTTGGATTGGTGTTTCAGGGCTCTTTGGGTATAATCCTAGCAGTGGAATTGC